GGATTTCCCTCACCATGATGCAATGAGCTGCGGTCACAACGGTCGGTAGACTGATCAGTGTCCCTCCGCAGGCATGAGTATAATTCGTCGTCCAAGACTTCGTCTGAAGGGAGAAGAGCTCGACATGATTGGTAATGAGATTAGAAAACTCAAATCGAGACGAGATTCCTCGACTAGCAACGCTCGCTCCCTCAATAGAACCGATCGCTGTTGAGGTTATAACGGATCCAATAGTCTGTGTGCTGTTTGGTATACTCGATATCGTTGACTTAGAACAGAACAGTTGAGCGACGGAGATCCCTCTCGTGGGGATCTCTGAACGGGGCTGGGAATCCGTAGATGAGGGGCGAATACCATACGTACAATTTTAACCTGAAGACTTATTTGCCACGGATTCGCGGCTGGCAGCGCAGTTCGACCGTTGATGATGTACGGGTCTGCCCCGCGAGGAGCGCTAAGACGGGAATCCGCGAGGTAGGCAATCGCTTGGAGAGAGAGCAAGAGATCAGGAAAAAACTCATCACCCCTCGACCGGAAAAGACCCTTCGAAGGAATTTTACCGAGCGTCATGAGCCACGAAGCACACATCTTGGAGCATCGAGAAGCGCACTCGCTGCCCGATCTAACTGCTCTTCTATATATGCATGAATACTGCAGCGGCGCATTAGGCTTTGTCGATTTGAGCGTTCCCGAGAAGGCAGCGAATGAAACACAGAATCGGTGATATGAAATTCTACCAAGTCCAGGCGTTCGGGGAAATCATTCTCTGTGAATGGTAGAGTTCTCTAGAACAGATTACGAGTTATCTGGGAAATTCTGTGGAATTCACCGGAAACTCCTCCAGACGATGATGGCCCCGGGTCACCGCTTATGCGCTTTCAAGTTCGGGAAGAATAGAGCATCGGTTCTGGGCTTTCGGTGGAGATGTTGAGAAAACCACCCGGAAACCACGATTCGAGTGGGAAAGCGAAGGGAGCTTAGCGGAGGCTGCTGGGAGATCAAGAGATGCGCCGTGCAACGACTTCATTTGATGGGAACGACTCCTCAACAGACTCGAAATCATTTCCCCGTCATGGAAAAATGGAGCGCCAGAAGGATGGAAACACCGGCGGAAATTCATATATTGGCTCATGATGCATGAATACCTTGATATTTGGTGTATCGGAATGGAAATAAGTGATTTAACGTCATTTCCCGAATTTGAAGGTATATAATGGGGCTGGGTGCAAGATTTGTGAACGTCAGGGGATGCGGGGGAACTCGAGACATAACTTAGACCCCACAGCAACCCTGCAGTCTCTTACGCACGTACCCCTTTAGCGGAGAGTATCGAAAAAGTGGCCTATCTCAACGAGAAATAAATGAAGACGGTATTTATTCGACCTGGATGATTGTTCTATCACCTGCATGACTTAGTTCGGTAAACACACCGGATAGAACTTCTTTGAGGAAAAAATAAAGCTTCCTTCGGGGAGAAATCGGCGCTTCTGTGAATCGGACGATAGTTCCCCTACGAGTGGTCCTAGAGAAAATTTCAATGGGCGAAAAGATGCGGGAGTGAAAGAGCTTTCCAACGATGTCAAGCAATCCATAATCAGTTCAGCCGCAATCGCCGATTTTGAGGGAAAGTTTCAATCCTCGGGGTCACCGGGGTCAAACCCAGACCCGGTGATAATCTCAAAAGTTGCCTTTCAGGCCCAATAACCCACCATGAAAATTTCAGCGAAATCGGTCCAGCCGTTCAGGAGTTATGATTTTCCGTGGTTTCCGACCACTGTGGCGTCGTCTCGTGGCGAACGCCTTGCTCCTTGAGAAAACTCAAGACTCGGTGGTTCACGTACTCGGACCCATTATCGGTTCTGAGAGTCTTTACTCGTAACCCGGTCTGTCTTTCCGCGCATCGAAAGAATTCTACGAGCTTTTCGAAAGTCTCCGTCTTAGATTTCATAAAATATACCGCGGTCATTCGTGTGAAATCATCGACAAAAGTGATGAAATATCTATGACCCCCGATACTTTGAGCACTCATGGGTCCACAGACATCGCTGTGAAGTAACTCCAACTTCGCGGCGCTCGCCGATCGTGACGTTGGAAATTTCCCCCGCTGTTGTTTCCCCTCAGCGCAAGCGCCGCTGACAGATCTGCGCTCCGGGATTCTCATGTTCACACCTGCCACCATGCCCTTTGACAACTTTCCCATGCCTTCCGCACTTAGGTGACCCAGTCTCTTATGCCAGAGCTCGAAATCCACTCGAACCGAGACCTTCCGGGCCAAGTGAGCCCCCGGTGTCTCGAAAACCAGAGCCGAGTCCTTCCGAGTATGTTCGTCCCCCGGTCGCTCTTCAGCCGCACCAAGTGCTGAATCGTCCCGGGCTGCTTGAGCCCCCGACTTTTCATCTACCACCGAACGTTTCTGCTCGCAATTCACCCCCGGTCGCTCTACGACCGCCGAACCGCCGTCCCGTGCTGACTTAGCCGCCGGTCCCTCCCCGACACCCGAGCGTTTCTGGACTGAATTAGTCCCCGGTCGCTCGTGAACCTCTGAAGCTGCGAGCGCATTGGTGAAACACTCTTCGAGACGATACAATCCGCTGCCTGAACAAACTGCAACAGCACACAGCTCATTATACTCGTTCTCCACCTCGCACCTCCGCCCGAATTCAACTTTGAAGCCTTTCCTTGTCAGCTGCTGCACCGATATGAGACTGACCGTGAGCTTTGGCACGAATAGTACGTCTTGCAGCCTCAAGGTTCGCGAAGTTCCGTTCACCGAGCAAGTAATATTTACTTCTCCGGAACCTTCCGACCTCAGAATCTCGTTGTTCGCAGTGGCGACCGGTCGATTTCTTCCATTCCTGGTCAATGACACGAAGGAGGCTCTCCGACCTGTCATATGACGAGCTGCCCCGGAGTCAATGAACCACTCTCCATTTCGTTGGGAACATACCAGCACGCGTTCTAGCTACTTCTCGTTTCCCCGCGTTTCCACCTCTGTTGCGAGTTTTCCATGTTCCCCCCCCCCGCTGTTCCCCCGTATCGCGTTCTCCCGACAGAACCTTCTGATGTGTCCCGGTTTTCCGCATCTGTAACAGTTGCCTTGGAACACTCTTCTTTCAGAGAGACCCCAAGTTCCCGGTGCCCCTCCACGGCGGTAAGCTCCGCTCACGGGAGATGATGGTGCGCTCCCACGGGGAACGTTCCTATCATTCGTCCCGATGCCAGCCAACGCTGTCTCCTTTTGCTGGGATGCCTGTCGAGCTGCTTCACTCAGCAGCCTCTCTTTTACGAATTCTGTAGTGACGTTCTCTGCCTTCGAAATGATCTGTATCAGAGGCGCGAATTTTTCGGGGAGCTTGATTAGTATCAGCCCAGTCAGGAGTTCATCGTCGAGTTTGCTGTGAATCGCGCGGAGACTTTGCGCCGCTTTGACCTTCCTGTTCATGTACGTCTTCATGTCGGGGCAATCCGCGTAACGAATCGCCGTGAGTTCTTCGAGTAGCGCGACCTGACGATACAGGCTCCTCGGCTGATACATCGGTCCCACATCGCTTTACCTGACGTGAAATCGCAAATATCCGAAAACAATTCTGAGCTTATCCCAGAAACGATAGCTCTGCGCGCCCTTTTCCCCTGACGTTCGTCTTCCTCCGAGCCTTCCACGTAGTCCCAGAGGTCGCAATTGAAAAGATGGGCTTCCATAGCAAACCGCCAGTCCATATAATTCGATGCCCCTTGAAGCTTCTCGAAGCTTGATGGAACGTTGACATTGATCGTTGGAGCAGGCTGGCTGGAGGCTTGCACAAGCCTTTCTGGAGCACTGGTGTCAATTGTTGGAGCAAACGAGTTGAAGACAGTTGCTTGCCCGTTTCCTCCCGTGACCTCTGACGAATCGGGAATCGCTCGTTTGGCTGGCGTTGGCCCCGTTCGAGAGTCCGACGATTCTCCTGAGCGCTCCTCGCGCCTCCTCCTCGAAGCAGTACTACTAGCGGGGGGTTCGGACAACTCGTTGTTCCCCGTCGATCTTGTTCGGACCGGCATCGTGATTCGTGATCTTCTCAATCGCCTTGTTGACTTCAATTTTCAATCGAAATTCGTCTTACAAGTTCGAACCGATGTTCACACGACCTCTTCGGGTAACTCTCACAGTTTCACACAAGTTCACCGGCTCACCAACATAGACCTAGGCCCATAACCTGTTGAAAAGTAGGAATCAAAGAGGACACGAGGTGTAGCGCACTAGGCCTGAAAGCTGGAAGAGGGGACAATTCTCTTTTATTTCAACGATAGAATAACGGTAACGAATACATGGCGGCGCTCGCGCAGACGGCGTAGTGGCGCTACTGCTCACACCGATGCTGCGTATCTTTCAACAGTTTGGCTCAAGATTTCCCTTCCGATGTGAGGTAAGTCATCCTAGGGTGCTCTTACAATTAGTCCACGGACGACTCACGTCTCAAACAGAAACCAATTTGTTCACTGTTTGCTCCGTCTCGGGGGCCAGGCTCGGAGCATGATGTCGCGGTGATGTGCGCCGTGTCAGCTATCAGGGACCCCGAGTTGTCTCCGTGAAATACCCTTTTCCTCTGCGGATGAAAATCACCGGCTCGATGGTCGAGTCGAGGGAAGCCGACAAGGGATCCCGTTGGGAAATCCGGTGGAACCCACCAAAGAAAGAACATTCCCATCCGTGCGGCGATGACGATTGACGAGAGTACGCGACGAGGCTATCGAATGTGCAGCAAGCGGGTGACAGTCCAAGTCAAACGCGGGACAGGTCACCCACATAGAGCTCCGACGAGTCCGCCAGAGTCACCCTTCCAGTATACGGAATCTCGACAGATTCATCGTGGGAACGTATGAGACGGAAGTTGGAAGGGTGATCGAAATCCTCTCCGTCCGTCTCAGGATGAAGCCGCCCTGTCTGGACTGGAAACTTCGAAACGCCGTTTCGTCTCGATAAATGCGGGGAGACACATGCGATGGGAGCGAAAGTCAGCAAGATGTCGGACAACGACGAGGCGCAAAATTTTATCCCAAGCCCAAAGAGATATCGGATGAGTTCGACCCCTGAAGAAGCATCACGGCTCCATCACGATCTTGAAGATGTCCTCTTGTACACATCGAAACTAATAATCAAGGATCGGACAACTGGAGACGAAGAAGTCCTTGATGTTTACGATGGCGCCCTGAGAGCGTTCACCGGAGCTGATGCACATCTCGAAGTTTCCCGCAAAGACGATGGGCGAGGCGAAAAATTCGTGATCAAGCCTCCCCCGGAATTGACCAAAAGAGCGCTCAAAACACTAATCAGCTACATCCATCAGGGTCTTTCCAAGGGGAACCCTCGTGAGTACATTGCCGATGCGGGAATTATTCCGCGCTCAGGGGGGGGGGGTCACTGTCTGTCACCTTATCTCATGTCGATGACATCCGTGAATCAGATTCTTCATACGAGGATGATCGACTTTCGATTTAATTCGCAGTGTTCACAATCGACGAATTGAACGTGGAAGATCTCTTCGATGCTTCTGCCTATCTTGAATGCCGTCAAGCGACCGAGGCCTGTGTCGAGTTCTGGCTCAAGCGAGTCACACCGTATACGTGTGTAGACTTACTGCTCGACATCGGTAAGCGATACACCCGAGCCCGGAAGTACGGAACCTTCTCAACGTCGGTGTCGTGTCATCCTGACCGAAGCATTCTTTCCTCCCCAAAGGTCTCCGCAAGAACGTGGAAGTCGTGCGAGACAAAAGTTTCGAGATACTACGGAGATTCTTCTCCTCGGTCATACCCGAGAACAAGAGATATCTGGATCTCCCCCCCGATATTCTAAATCAGACCATCCTGGCAGACGATCTGGACGCACCGGACGAGAGGCTCGTGTTCGAAACCCTGGTCGAGTGGGTGAACCACGACCGAAATAAAAGGTAGGTGGAATCTAACAACCTTGCGGGATCCGCCACGTCGCCCCGGTGATCTCATACCTCATTATTGGGGCCGAGGTTTCGCGCGAGAAGCCGTGAGTTCTCACAGCGTTTTCAGGTGATAGTCCGCAGAGGGTCTGTCTTGGCCGAGAAACGTCGAGCATCTTTCGGAAAATGCCGCGCCAGATTCCTAGCTTCACCTACTATGTATACCCGCGGTAGTCTCGGAAGTTCCAATATCCGACGGCATTAATTGTCTGCAGGCTGGCTCACGCAAAGAACCTGCTGGGGGGCGTTCGCTTCATGTTCTGCGGAGAAACATATCTACGAGAGACCGTTCTGCCTCATCCTTTGCTCTCGGAAGCCGGATGTCAGGTCATCGCGGAGGAAATCTCTCTACATATGACCCGCTTGGAGCGTCAACCGACCTCTTTCATGGACCCGAAAGAATACATGCTCAGACCTCGAGTAAGCCGCGCCACGGTGTTCGCCATTGGGGGATGGAGTAATGGCCAAGCGTCGGCTCTCGTTGAAGCTTACGACAACCGCGCGAAACGATGGTTCCCCATTTCCCACGATAATGACGTCCAGCCACGAGCCTACCATGGACTCGTCCCCATCGGTAGCCGAATCTTCATGATAGGCGGTTTCGATGGAACGAATTGCTTCAACGACGTTCGCTGCTACGACAGCGCTGCCCACGAATGGATTGAGAAAGCCCCGATGCACAGGGAGAGATGCTACGTGAGCACGGCGGCTCTCGACGACAAGTTTATCTACGCTCTGGGTGGCTACGACGGCACTTCGAGGACTAACACAGCAGAGAGATATGACGTCGAACGTGAGTAGGCTCTGTTGAATTAGATAGAAGAACCTTAAATAACATTTGCAATAACTGCCGTTCCCAATGGCTAGAAAATACTTGGACCATGATACCGCCAATGAATGCGGTGAGAAGCGACGCGTGTGCGTCCGCTCTGAACGGCAAGATCTTTATCGTCGGAGGATTCACCGGTGACGGGGTTCTCCCCTCGGTGGAGTTCTTCGATCCCCAGACCAATGTGTGGACAGCGGTGAGTAATAGAGCGAGCGTCTGGCGGGGTGGCATCGGTGTCATCTCGAATTTGAATCGCTTTTCTGTTTTTCGCTGGGGACCAGGTTAGGAGCATGATGTCACCCCGGAGCGGGGTCCGGTGCGTCGCCCATCAGGGACGATTGATCGTTCTGGGCGGATACAATGGACGCGAGCGTCTAAACTCCGTAGAAAGGTGATTACGATAGTCGCTTCTTCTGTCGCAATGATGGTCACTTTCTCAATCTTGGACGGGAGAGGCCATCAAATTCCGTGAATAGCCGCAAGGAAATTGGAAGAATCAGCACGATAATATTTTCGATCGTGCAGATATGACGATCGACGCGATCGCTGGGAAAGGCTCCCGGATATGCCTACGGTGAGGAGTAATTTCGGGATCGTATCCTTCGAGGGTAGAGTTTACGCGATCGGTGGTTTCAACGGCCAGACCACAGTGGCGCAGGTGGATGCTCTGGATCCGGAGCAAAGTCAATGGATGACAATTCAAGGTAATTTGAGGGCGGTCTCTCAGCGCCGTCAAGTCGATTATCCTCCCATGATAGATAACGCTGACGCTGAAAGAACTTCGGATAGTTCCTCGCGAGTTTATTCCCTCAGGAATGACGATAAACCGCTCTGCGTTGGGCGCGTGCGTTTGTGAAACAGCCGATCCGAAATACTTCTCGATGCTTTCGAAAGACTCGGCCTCGCCGTCTGGATTGATTGCTCCAAAGACTTTGGGAAGAACGCACTGAAGCAGGCCAAAATCCTTGGCATTGAATCTCGGAGAATAAGTGGAGAAGAATGAATGGATCGAAGGCTTCCTCAGGACATTTATTCGTCCGGAGGCTCATGGAGTCCTCGAATCCGAAAAATTCAATGAGTTGTCGCATCAATTTCCACGAAGCAGCGCCCGAGTCTCGGCGAAGTCCTGCGGGGGTTCTGTTCCTGCTTCGGTGTTGCAATCCTCGAATATCTCCCAGAAGAGATGTAGTGTTACCCAGGGTTCGTGACAGCCTTTAGCTCCAGCCATGTGGATCCGCGCTATGTCCGAGCAAGTGACCTAGAAGGGAGCACCCGGATGATGGTCTTTTGCTTCGAAAAACTTGACCACGGAATTCAGTTTGCTTCCTCTAGACTTTCCTCACCTTGTCATCGCCGTCGCAGTCTCTGGCGGATACCGCCATGTTTGTAGTCATGGCAGTTTTCGAACAATTCATCGAGGTAACGCACGAGATGAAGTCTGAAATGATCGTTGATGACGTAGGACGTCTCGGTCCAGAGAGGATATCGAGATGATATCGACCCCCTCAACATGAAACCCCTCTAAGAGATTCGGAAATTTCGACATTACCGCCCCCCGGTTTCCCAGCCTCTTCCCAATACGGTTCGGTTATCTGGAAAGGTCCACAGGCTGGTTTCGAGCCCTCATCGCCATACGACGTGCATTTGAAGGTCGTATTGCAGAAAGAAGTTCCCTGGAATTAGCACGTGACGGAATTCTGCTCGGATCTGATTGAAGAGCCTTATTCTAAACTCACCATACAAATGCATCGGAGACACTCGTCATTAAGGATCTCAGAAATATTCTCGGCTGCGCTCGAGAAACAGATGAAACAGATAATCAGTAAGACTTTCAAGAATGAGTTCTCCATTTTCGATCGCAGCGCGAACTTCAAGGGTAATCTGTTTTGCAGACCGCTTCGAGACAGATGTCTTCGCTGACACGTGACTCACAACATCACAAATCGCTTCTGGTTTTGCATTGCGATGGAGCTGCGCTGGGAGTAGGGAAAGACTCGTGAATTTGACCATCGGAAGGCTTTCATTATTGTATGAGGAGATTTTTCCGCAAGGGCGAGATTGAAATTCGGTTTGTGGTCCAGACAAGCGAGATCGACGGCTTCGCTCTAGAGGGAAGTAGGAAAAAAGACGTTCATAAGTACAACAATACAGAGCTAGAGGAGAAGTGTTTCTCCAATCGAGGAAAACCGAGAACGTATTTCGGCGATTTGCGCGACGCTTCCGAGAGTGAGGCATGCGGTGCCTGATTTCTGTTCCCTGAGAACTGACTCGTAAGAACGTGGGAATAAATCTCGCAGAGCCGCGGGAGGAAAAGCTCTCTGGATGATTTTCTCCTCGTTCCATCTGACGTCGCGTATGACAGATGGGGGAATTGTGATCTATCGCCGATCCACGTCCAAGACTTCTGTGAGAAATATTTTCCTCAGATCGAACCTGGGGAGCCACCTTGTTTCGAGCGCGCGGTCACTCGGAGCCATCATCGTCTGTTGGATTTTCCGGTGAATTCCGCAGAATTTCCCAGATAACTCGTAATCTGTTCGAGAGAAGTCTACCATTCACAGAGAATGATTTCCCCGAACGCCTGGACTTAGTAGAATTTCATATCACCGATTCTGTGTTTCATTCGCTGCCTTCTCGGGAACGCTCGAATCGACAAAGCCTAATGCGCCGCTGCAGTATGCAAGCATATATAGAACAGCAGTTAGATCGGGCAGCGAGTGCGCTCCTCGATGCTCCATGATGTGTGCTTCGTGGCTCATGACGCTCGGTAAAATGTCTTCGAAGGGTATGGCAGTGTTTTCCGGTCGAGGGGTGATGAGTTTTTTCCTGATCTCTTGCTCTCTCCCCAAGCGATTGCCTACCTCGCGGATTCCCGTCTTAGCGCTCTCCGCGGGGCAGACCCGTACATCATCAACGGTCGAACTGCGCTGCCAGCCGCGAATCCGTGGCAAATAAGTCTTCAGGTTAAAATTGTACGTATGGTATTCGCCCCTCATCTACGGATTCCCAGCCCCGTTCAGAGATCCCCACGAGAGGGATCTCCGTCGCTCAACTGTTCTGTTCTAAGTCAACGATATCGAGTCGGTACATGACAATTCATCGCCGACCAACTCATCGCCGACATCTCAACGCCGACTTCTCAACGCCGGATAGCTCAACGCCGAGACAACTCAACGCCGAGACAACTCATCGCCGGACGAGCTAACGCCGGGACAACCATGCGCCGGACAATTGATCGCCGGTCAACTCAACGCCGAGACTTAGCCTGCTCCGGATGTTCTTGCGCGAATATGATGCGTTCAGTTCAAATCAGATAATGCGTTCCTGCTTCGTCATATTTATGTCACTTTATTCTCACATAACCCTATGGCAAGTCTTAAGCGTAGAATCTGATAGGACGGCCAGAACCTCGGCAGTGTTCATCGACCACGTCCACTTGGGTACTTTTTATCGAGCTTTTTCCGATATGCACGCAATCATTCAAGGTTTCATAAGGAAAGTCTTTGCGCACCCGCGCAAGTATTCGACTACCGTAAACGTGTGAAAGTCGTTGACTCGTTTCAACAACTT